TGGAACTTCCAAGGCACTCTACTCTAAATAACCCAAAACTGGGACTCATGAGCACCCACCTTACTAAGAAACAGGCCTAAACACATCTCTACCATACTTGCATTTTAACAAGGCTCAGCTAACCCCACACCCCTTTCTCCCCCTTTGTCATGGGTCAAAAGTGTTATTCCAGGCTGTCAGTTGTCTGAACACACAATTGCCGCTCCAGTGAGTGCCTGTCACTGTGTCCTTCTCACCTCTACAAGCCTCTTGGTTCTTACTGAGGTCCTTCACCTCTTTGCAGCAACTCAGACACAGAGAAGAAGATACAGGTCTCCTCCTCAGAGCCTGGGTCTTGTGGGGTGAGGTGAGGTGCGGCGCGGCAGGGCTGGGCTGATTTAGGGAGCAACCCAGGAGCCTTATCATTTCTGCTACATCAGCTCTTCCTACACCTGGGGACTTCAGATGACCCAGTAGCCCTCAGAGTCCTACAGCCGTGTTACTGGCCAAGCGAGGTGGCTCTGACCTGGAAAACATGCTGGGGTGATGGGTATATTGTGTGCAGCCTGAGGTATACGTTGCCCAGCTTTTATAGAAAGCTAAATTATACCCAGACATGCAAGCTGTAGTTACACCTTGGACTGCAATTTCACATACCCTCAGGTTTTATTGAGGAAAGCAGCACTCTCATATTAAAGAGCATTAGTTCTGTTTTGGTTTTAAGATTAAAGATATCCAGTAAAATTGCAGTAGTGTAATTATTCCTGAGCTCTAAGCAAATCTCATTTAGTGGTGGGGAAGAGTTCTTCAGCTTCAGAATTATTTGTGTGTATAATTATGTAATCCCTATGTTTTGTTGCACTGTAGCTAGAAAACGTAACCAAACCTATCCGTAAGAGAGGAAATCCATATTACAAGAGAGCTGCATTTTGCCATTAAATACTTCAAGATGAGACTAGGTATTCAGGATGCAAATGGGAGATGAGTAGACTGAGGTCACTGACTATGAATTCCCCTTGGGATCAGGGTGAATTTTGCTGAAAGGGGATTAAGTGAGGAATGTGGAAAAGGCAAAAAAATAGAAGGAAGTCACCTTAGTGCCAATGGAAACTGGACACACGGTGGTGGCTGAATACAGGGTCTCCACATCAGTGGGGTTTCTAAACTTCCAGTGCCCTCAAAGGACAGCTAGGCAGTGCCTCAAAGAGATGACAGAATTGGTCAGCTGATGAAACGCAAGCATTTATGGAGAGGTGAATGCATGGATAGATCTCCAGGCTCCACCAAATGTGTCTGCTGACTGTAAGAGAAACTCATATGTACTTTCAGACACCCAAGCGTAGCTATCTCAATCTGGAACTGAATCTAACCCCTATGTCCTCCTTTCTCCTGCGGCAACCACATAGTTACACAACCAAGTCCAACTTTCAGGCACAATGACTTGTTTTGCTTTACTGAGTGACTGACGGGACAAGCCAGCAGGGGTTTTATGTTCTAAGAAATGGTTACTGGAGAAGATTTTTATAAATATAAGATGAAGCCTGAGAAACAGAAGGCAGATGTGGGTGTGATTTTAAGAAGAAATGAAGATCCTTTGATTTTGGGAACTGGTGGAAGCATCAGTTTTTCTGGAAAACTACAAATTCTATCATCAATCTAGACTCTCTTATTTTTTTTCTGTTGTCTTGTGCTCTGCTCGGCCCACAGTCATGAGGTTTCCTATACTTACAGTAGCATAGTCTGGGTAAATCATTTCCAACAGCTCCAAACACAAGGAGAGGAGTAGGCTGCCAACAAAAAAAGATTTATTTATTTTTTTTTTAATAGGGATGAACAAAGGGAATCAAGTAAATGTAATGCACAATTTACAATGAACAGAAAAGTACAAACCTGAGATACTGCTATGGTCTGAGCAATATAATAGCACTGAATATACAGATAATGAAAGAGCAGACAGTGGCGATCTAGTCCTTTAGTTCCTTATTTCATCTTCAATCTTGCAATTAGGTAATGAAAAGGCACTCAGTAATATTGACCCTCCAGCTCAAGCAGTTTTGGAAATAGGTTTCCAGGTGACAGCTCTTAGACCACGCTGGAAACCTATGCCAAAATATGGATGTCCAGGATCCAAAGCAACCTTAAGTTTGCACTCTTGCACAATGATTCCTGTATTTTAGCCTATTTATTTTGCTACATGGTGTTGTTCGTTATTCTTTTACAAGCGCTATCTGCCTGGACTTGCTATGATAAAATCTGTGGAAAAATGAAGGTTAAGGGTAATGTTTTGCTACAATCTGTGATAATAATATAGGCTATTTCCTTTCAGACAAGCGAGCTTTCAGACCAATTTAGTAAATTATAGCATGGCACAGATGAGAGCAATAGCAATTAAACCAGCTTCCTCTAAGATTTAATCTTAGTATGCAAAGCAGCTGTGTAAGGATCAGAGCACAGTACTGGGATTTCTAAAACCAGAAAATCAATAAGCTGACAACAACAACAACATGCTAGGACAAACAAGATGAAGAATCTTTCTGATAATGCTTCAGAATTACTTTATGTGAGGTGAGTTTAAATCTGAAGCTGTAAGCACCAAGTCTGGGATTCCGCAGCCAGGCCACACTGCTGGTTTATGTAAATTTGTTGCGCTGTATGTGAAGCAACAAATTCTTTAGAGGAAAATACAAAATCCCTGATGTTTTTTCTTCATATTTTCAGAAGTATTTAGCTTTCACCCGGTGAGGGAGGATATCTATTTCTCTATCTTCAAAAGAATTCTTTGATATAAGGCGGCTGAGGTTCAGGTGACGTGAAAAGGGATGTTGGACTATGGCCAATTACTTTTTTGTTTTTTGTATCTCATATTTTTAAGAGGATATCTGTAGAGTATGAGGGCTGACTACAGTCTGAGCCTGAAAGACTGCATCTGCTCTTATGGTTTTCTACCTTATGTAAAACATGAATTCCCCTTACTTAAAGCTGCCAGGGAAAAGCATCAGTTGCGGAAAGCAAACTGTATGGATGGTCAAGCCAGCGCGATTTTCTGCAGTGTGTGTTAAGAAGCTGTGTTTTGAACAAGTATTCTATACATTGGAAAAGCCTCAAAACCAATGAGGTCCTTATTAACTGTCATAAAATATTTGGTTTGGTAACTCCTTTAATTGTTTCAGGTGTCAATCGCTGTAATTATTAGTTACTTCCCATTCCCACAAATTATGTGAGTCATATTATTCTGTGCAGCTTGCTGTCATATCTCTATTGGCTGCATACATTCCTCTGGTCATTATATTGATTTCATGGTCATGAAATATAAATAAAATAGTTTGTATTTTTTTTTCAGCTTTAGTTTTAATAATTTGACACAAGAACATAGCTAAGAGGGTTTTTTATGTAAATGTGATTATGTGAATCACAGTATTGGCGTTTGTCAGGCCTTGTGAATTTGTTCTAGCTGAGGTTACGGACCTGTACTTCAGCTAATGTTTCCTCTGGATCCTCTAGTCCCACAGGTAATGTATATTGTTCCTCTCCTCGTATTGGCCTCCAACAAGCATACTCAGAAAGGAAAATTCAATTTCTTCATGGCACCTTGGAAGGGGATGATTCCTTGAGATTAGGAACTGATGATAAATTGTAAAAGCTTGGACAGGTGCCTCTCCTTAGCTGAATTTCTAATTGGATTATTGTGCCTGATCCTAGTGCTCACAGGAGAGTCCGTGAACTGCTTCGGTATCTCTTACTTTCTACTTACTTGGGACGTGGTATAGTCACGTAGGAGAACATCTGTCCAAAGGACAGTTCCAAGCCATAAACTCCAGGCCCAAAGCCCCTGTCGTGAGTACACAATGGCCATGGACACTAATGGCTATTTAATGTAAAAAGATTTCCTACCTTGAAAGAGGAAAAGTCCAGAAGGCCACTGGTTGTTATTACCTGAGATGAGAAGTGATAAACTGGAATCCTGTGCTTACTAGCAGCATGTAGTTTATCCATCGCTGAGCTACCTTCACAAGTATTAGCAAGTATTTAAGAGAAAACCAACCTCGATTTATTGTGGATTTTCAGCTAGAAGACAAGATGGGTGAAGCGTGCGCATCATACTGTGTGGGATTGGAAATTCTCTTATAATCATAAGCTGTTATCAAAACAGTTGCAACAAAGGAAGGCATCACCAGGGGAAAACATTCTGTTTCACAAGATGTAGGGAACAGTTGCGTAAAGGTATCTCCCAAATTCTATTCTCTATGATAGTATATAAAAGTGCTCGTAACTCAGTTCTCTGTAGCTGCCTCTGCTGACTTACTCTTCCTGGTGACTGGGTAAGTCTGATTTAACTGAATCAGTTCCTAATTATAGATGTGGATTTATAGGTAGTGTTAATATGAGGTTATATATCTTAGCCTATTTTAGGGTAGGTTTACTTGGAAACTGTAACTTGCAAATACGGTGGATATAGGCATCACCATGTGTGGTGGAAAACATGAATGGGAGTTTCAGAAGTGTGGATGGTAGCAATTCCTAGGAGCTGAGCATCTATCTATGGAGACAGGACACTCCCAAAACATTATTGGGGTAGGACTGACTCCCATACAAAAAGCACAGCAAAGACAATGATGTAAGAAAAGGACAGAGAGACATTCTTCCCAGAACTGATTTTGGGAATAGGCTATGGGGCAACGGGGCACTAGAGAGGAGTGGGAGTAGACTCAGAAGCCTTTACCCAGCAATTCATCTTGCTTGATTGGTGAGATCTGTAATGCACAAATCTACTTTAGAGTAGAATGGATTATGCCTTAAAAATGTTGATTATATTTTATTATTTTATTTTTTTTAATCACTAACTCTTAAGTTTAGTGTAGACGACGTGGACATATGCATCTGCATCTGTTTAGATGAATACCATTCAACGCTTCTACACAACCCATGTTACTATAACACAGTTTGTTCTTTCACTCCTCTGGCTGTAACTTTACCAGGCTAGTGCACTCTGTGCTTTTCAGGTTGACTTGCTTTCTGGAAAGATGTCTTCCTATGGACAGATGCTTAGCTCCCGCTGTGCTGAGCCATGTGAAGTGACGTGCTCGCGACCGTATATCAACAGTTGGAGTGAACCATGTGTCAGCTCATGCGGAGATTCAAGAGCGATCGTGTACGCGCCACCCGTTGTCGTGACTTTCCCGGGACCTATTATCAGCTCATGCCCTCAGGAAAGTTTTGTGGGAACTGCCATGCCTCAAATTGAGTGTCAGATGGGCCCCAGGGGTGGAGGAATGGGATCTGGAGGTTCCTGTGGTGGAGGCAGCTCCTATGGGATGGGCTGCCATGGTTCAGGTGGTTCTTATGGTGGTGTGGGAGGGGGCTCATGTGGTGGGGAGGGCTCATGTGGTGGTGGACTCTCCCGTTTGGGAAGCTTTTACCGAAACTCATTTTTTTCAGGATTTGGTAGAAATTATTTCCCCTTTTTTTCCAGAGGGTACTATAGATATAACGGTGGAAACTATGGGTCATTTTAAATCTTTAAGAAAGAGTCATGACTGAAGGAACAATAAGATACAAACTAGTAGTTGATATATAGATCTGGAAATCAGACATGCCAAGCAGCCTCTGCTCCAGTCAATGTCAGTAGGAGCTGGGGTTGCTTGGGATCTCTTTGCGCTATGTTTTATCTATGGCTTACGATTCCAATGTTGCCTGACTTTGTCATTTGCTCATGTTATGTTTTGTTCTTTCTGAACCTGAAGAGAGTAAAACAAGTAATGGGACTTGACTGTGACAGTGTCCAGCTGAAAGAAGAACATCTTGTGAGCCCTATGCTCCTCTGAACGACTGATTGATCGTAGTCCTTGTTGAAATGGAAATTACATTCTTTGTCTCTGCATTGCCTCATTCTGCAAGAATGTATTCCACTTCTTGTTTGTATTAAAGCCCTGTTGCATCATAGCACCGTCTTCTGGCTTTCATTTCGCTGCAGTTTCTTAGTTACAAACCAGTTTGAAAGAAAGTTTGAAAAACTTTGTGGATCAATTCTTATGCATTTATCAGGGACTATCATCAGAGAAGAATTTATTCTGCTCTATGTCCAATATAATTTTTCAGAAATACTTCATTAGAGTACTTTTTCCCCTTTCTAATATATACCATGGCATACATAATAATTGGAACAGAATCATAGAATAATTTAGGTTGGAATGACCTCTGGGGATGGTCTGGTACAGCTCCCACTCAAAACCAAGGTAACTTTGAAGCTAGGTCAGTTACTCAGGGTTATTATTTGACCTGCGTAGTGGATGAGGGAAAGGCTGTGGATGTGGTCTACCTGGACTTCAGCAAGGCCTTTGACACCGTCTCCCACAGCATTCTCCTCGAGAAGCTGGCGGCTCACGGCTTAGACAGGTGTACTCCGTGCTGGGTCAAAAACTGGCTGGACGGCCGGGCCCAGAGAGTTGTGGTGAATGGAGTTCAATCCAGTTGGCGGCCGGTCACGAGCGGTGTTCCCCAGGGCTCAGTTTTGGGGCTGGTCTTGTTTAATATCTTTATCGATGATCTGGATGAGGGGATCGAGTGCACCCTCAGTAAAAGTTTGCAGAGGACACCAAGTTGGGCGGGAGTGTTGATCTGCTCGAGGGTAGGAAGGCTCTGCAGAGGGACCTGGACAGGCTGGATCGATGGGCCCAGACCAATTGTATGAGGTTCAACAAGGCCAAGTGCCAGGTCCTGCACTTCGGCCACAACAACCCCATGCAGCGCTACAGGCTTGGGGAAGAGTGGCCAGAAAGCTGCCTGGCGGAAAAGGACCTGGGGGTGCTGGTCGACAGCCGGCTGAACATGAGCCGGCAGTGTGCCCAGGCGGCCAAGAAGGCCAATGGCATCCTGGCCTGGATCAGAAATAGTGTGGCCAGCAGGAGCAGGGAAGGGATCGTGCCCCTGTACTTGGCACTGGTGAGGCCGCACAGGCTCGAAT